GCGATTTCCACGTGCCAGGCTTGCTGTTCGCAGCTGCGTTTTTAACTGTCCGCCAGCAGGCCCCTTTCCCCGGGCTCCTGTGGGGGTCGGGCTGAGCCTCTCTCTCTGGAATGCAGGCGACAGTACGGGAAAGGGAGCACGCTCATCAGTCAGAAGAGGGCTGCGTGCTTGGATGTGAGGGAGAGGACTTGCTCGCTGCCCCGCTCTCTGCATTTGGTTTTGTACAACTTGTCTGGCAGGTGAAGAACGACCCTTAGTGCTAGGATGAAGTGAAGCTGGAAAGAGGAGAATTCTGATTGTCATTTTCTTTCCTGTGATGTTCCGGTGATCTACGTCCTCCGCCCTTTCTCCCTCCTAGTCTGTCTGCTTTAAAACAGGCACACACATGCACACACAGCTGTATGTTTTCTCGCCTCCTTCCTTGTGGCTTTCGTATCCCTGACGTGCCTTCCCTCCCTCTCGTTTTTACACAGACACAGACACAGACGTATCCCTGACGTGCCTTCCCTCCCTCTCGTTTTTTCTGCATCAGCTTGTGCCCAGGGTTCCCTGCATTACTGTAAACACTGATTGCCTTAGTAGCTCAGTGTCATTATGGCATCAGTGTCCTCCCAGGCAGTGTGACTGCAGAGGGCAGGGGAGGCTGGACGTGATTGGGCAGTCCGTCCTTCCTTCTAGGTCTGCTGTCTGTCTGAGAAGAGAGCTGGCTCCTGCAGTATGTTAATTGGCTGGCCTGGACTGCCTTGTCCTAGGCTTCCTGAGTGGAAAATAACCAGGGCCTCCAAGTGGAGATGCTTAGAACAATCAGTGTGATAAAGTCAGTGTCTTCACGCCTTTTTCTGTAAGTACACTCCAAGGTCAGGCATCCGATTCATCTGGCCACTGTTTGAGGATTGCTCACACGGTGCATGCGTGAATAATTCGTTCATCTCAAGCTCCATGTCACTGAGACTCAGATTTCAGAAGCTGTTCCTGAACTAGTTATATCTCGGTGAAATGGAGTGACAGGCCCAGAATGCTAACAGTGGACAAGAAAGGTGAGAAGTGCCCATTGCACTGGGTCGGCACATTCTAGTGGTGTGGCTGGAATCTGTGGCTTGAAGTGGATTGTTAGACATGAAGAAAGGAGTGCCAAAAATGCCTGGACACTGTGACTTGTGGTGAGGCCAGGACACACACTTTAAAAATCAGCATTCACTCTAGCAGGTATTGTGGAAATGCACAGAGCTGGTTTCAGTCTTTTGCTGGCTGATCGCAGGAAGACTGAGAGGAGCAGAGGCCTTGAACCTGGAGACGGAGACCTCCTTTGCATCTCAGCACGTTGTGGACTGCTGTTGTCTGGACATTTGTGGACACAGCTGCCTCTTGCTGGTGGACATCAGGACTGGACAACTAGCAGACAAGGCCGGGGGCATTCAGAGGTGACCCTACACTGGAACACTGGCGCATCCCCAGGCATCCTGCACCATAGGGCCCCTAAAAGGCCAGCAACTTACTATTGAAGTGGTTGTTTCAGATCATATTGATCTCTTTCTTTCTCCTCTCATTCTTCACTGTCTGACTTGAATCAGTTTTGATTCTATTTGTCTGTTTCCCTTGTCATTAGGAACCTGCCATGTCTGTTGCGTTTTTCCCTTGGCAGCCTGTAGGGATCCCACCTGTCCCAGTTTTCCCATCCCCCTGCGGGCATTGTGGGTGGCAAGGGCCAGCAGAGTCGTCCCCCTTGTACTGTTGCATATGGTCAGTAGCTGATCTGTTTCAGCATTCCCTCCCACGTTAATTTTCTGTGTTTGGAATATGTGCATCTGTGCTTTATAGGATAAAACACAAGAGTTGAAAAAAAATAAAAAACTGAATATGTATGATACACATGGTAAATGGGTGAACAACTACTTCTTGGCCTGTGTTCAGATTCCATATGACTGCAGTGAAGTGTTCTGGGAGTTTAATTATTCTCAATGTTAACCATAATTTATTATGATCCACATATTCAGATTCCTTTGCATAGTAAATAAAATACAACTAAACATCTTCCCGGTGTCTCTGTCTTCAGCTAAAGTACTTTTTTATTATGTTGGGGTTTTTTGTAATCATTATTTGCATGGGAGTTTTTGTAGAAATTTACTTTTTATTCACTCATGTATATAGATGTATGCCCCTGTCTCCCCCCTTCATTCCTTCATGCATGTCCTGTATCAGCTTGTTAGTTGTGTTACTTCTAATGTCTTATCACCCCTTCTTCTCAGAATTACCTTCCCATCATCTTTTCCAATGCCTTATTCCTTATCTATCCATCCACTTCCTATGCCTCCCTGCCCTTCACTTCCCTGTTAATGTTTTGATTTTATAATATTGGTCTTAAACTGCACTTGTCCCTTTGTGACTGAGTTCATTAACTCAGCATAATGTTCTCTAGATTCCCATCTTGTATAGTGTTTCTCAAGATTTCCATTGCACCCATGACATCCCTTATTTCACAGCCTGTTATGATTCCATCTTGAATTTCTAATAGTCCCTTCTCAATATACTCCTCTAGCCAATTTTATAATACCTCCAGCAAGCTTTCACTTGTGTGTGATATTACTTATAATGGTACATAATTTGTGCATTCCGTTGGATTGCTTTTTTTAAAAAATGGAAACAAACATGGATCTCTTCCAGGTAACTAGCTATCTTCCAAATTTCTTGGCACAGACAAGTAAGCAGGTCCAGAATGGCATTTGTTTTTTATTACATGTAAATTAGTATTCCATCAATTCTAAGAGCCTTAATTTTTTGCCAAAATGCCTTCAAGTGCAACTTGAATTTCTTCCTTCAAGATCACTGATTCTTGGTAATATGCAATCTCCAATTGGCTGTGTATTTTTTATCTTCTTTTGATTTTTCTGGTCTCATTCAATATTTTGCCCATGGACACTTTCAATATTGAAATTCAAGGCTTAAATGTTTTCTTCAGTTCTAACAGCTTGAAAATGCCAAATATATAGACTTTTCTCTTGTGTGTCTTTGCACACAATTTTTTCCTTTTCTAACTCCAAGGTTTTGCACATTTCATTATATTTTGCTTTGTCTTCTCAAGTTGCCCTTAGATGATATTAAAAAATAAAATAAATCCATAACACAGAAAATGAGAAAGCAGAGATGGCAGCATATAAGTTATGACAACTGCAAAGTAAATTATACCATTTCACAACCTCCAGATGTGAGTGTACCGTCAAATCAGATCTGACTGGTACAGGAGGAGATTGTCCCTCCTTCCCCGGCAGAGCATCTGGTGGATTCGAACCGTGCGCCTCTGGGATTGTAGTTGCAGCTCCTTACCACTAGGCCACCAGAGCTCCCCTTTGGTGTAATGCAGTGTTTCAGAGTATGTGCTCAGAATTCAGATTGACTGACTAGTTATGGGGAAAGGATGCAACAACACTGATACACGCTTTGCTTAACTTAAAACTGTCTATCATTCCCTTGCTATGTTCAAAAGATCAGTTTGCATACAGTTGTCAAATGGCCAGAACCCTTGAAGTGTGGCTACCTGCAGCTGGTGGGTCACCAGGATGATGGTCTTCCCCAGGAGCATCTTCTTCATGCACTCCTCAAAGATATGTTTCCCAACATGAGCATCCACAGCCGACAAGGGGTCATCAAAGAGGTAGATCTCTCGACTGGAGTAGACAGCCCTGGCCAGGCTGATTCTCTGCTTCTGACCCCCAGAAAGGTTGAGGCCTCGCTCCCCAATCTGTAAACAAGGACAAAAGGCATCATGTTCAGAAGATAGTCATTAGCCACATATCCCCTAATGAGGGGGTAGACAGGTTAAACAGTCATGGTGGTAACACACTGCAGTGACATTCTGAAAATAATAGGCGATGGGGGAAAACCTGATTGTCAACTAGTTAAAATCTTCTAAGTAATTGTGTTTGTTGTATGTCATCGAGTCGGAACCAACCCATAACTGACCCTCCAGTGGATTTTCAGAGGCAGTTAATCACATGGACGGAGATTACTCATCCTTTATTAGATACCATTTTTCTATAACACTCCATTTCTTAGAAAGAATATTATTAAATCATTTAAAAATAGATCATAAAAGAAATTACTTATTCCCTGGAAACAGCACTGTTTTACATATTCAGGTTTTGAATCTTAGTTGATTATAACTGTCAAGGAAAGGGCCTGTGAGCTTGGAGTAGGACTGTCATCTGCAGCGATGGTTAAGAGGGTATTTCACCCTCACGAGAAAGGCCATCTGACCTAACACCTGTTATGTCAGGAGCAAATAAGTCAATTACTGGGTGTCTTTTTTTTTTTTTAGTTCTTTTGAAGATTAGCATTACAGACAACTGCCACTGGCTCTGAGGACAACAGAGTCTTGCCCGAAGCTTACGTCCCTGTTCTGCTCTGACCTTGAGGTCTCCATTTGGAAGAAGCAGCACCCACTTGATGCTGGGGGGCTCCGGTGACCTAGTGATAAGGAGCTATGCTGTCAACCCAAAAGCAGGTGTTCCGAATCAAATAGCTTCTCTGTGGGAGAAAGACGGGCAATATCTTCCTATGATATTTACCTGCCCCTGAAAAGCCACTGGAGGGTCAGCTATGAGTCAGTCCCTCCTCAGTGGCCCACAACCATCACTCCATGCTGTGCACTCATCAGTGCACTTCCACAAACTGATGCCATGCTACAGACGAGACCTTGACATTTAATTTGAAGACAGAACGTAAATTGTTGGTTAAGATCCTCTAACCCTCTGTTCTCAAGGATTTACAATCTCATTTTCAAAATAAGGATAATGAAAGGATGTACTTCATAGAGTTTCTGTGAGGCTTGCATAAGAAAGCATTCAAGTTGCTAGACCTAGAGCCTAGTAAGTACTCAGAGCTGAGATTGCAAAATAGAGGAGATTCATTCCTGTGGCATTTTAGATGAAAAGTAGCTGTTGCTTAGTGTGGAAACCAATGTATACAAATTTTGTAAGTAATCCAGTATAAAGAAAAAGTTTTATTTTAAAAATATTAAAAAATAGGGGAGCTCTGGTGGCCTACTGGCAAGAAGTTGCACTGCAATTCCAGAGGTGCATGGTTCTGATCCACCAGATGCTCTGCTGGAGAAGGAGAGCCAATCTCCTCCAGTACCAGTCAGGTCTGATTTGACTGGACACACACACAAAATAATAACGTTTTAAAAAAATTTTAAAAGATATTAAAAATAATTTAAAAAATAGATGGGTAAATTTTTTTAAAAGTGGCTATAGCTTTAAAAGAGTGGGAATGGTCAGATAAATGAAATAGAAATCATGGATGAGGTTCCCATTGGTAAGAGCTAACCACAGTGGAGACAGGGTGAGTTGGTGGAAAGCTTTTTCATCTTTACAGGGTTTCCACTCTGTTGCAGAAGGAATGTGGCATCCACCCCACCTTGTGAAGTAAGGTGATTCCTTTCTTCTCCAGTTCTCACTTTGAGAACAATTGGACTTCCCTAAGGGGAAAAATGTTGGGTCTTGACTTTGAGGAAGCAGCTTCAGGGGTGGTTCTGCTGCTGAAAAGGGCAGGGGCCCCTCCTCTACCTACTCTGAGAGACAGAGAAGCCCTTACAATGTGAGGGCCCCATAACACAAAAGCACCAATACTATTCGCCTCCTACATACCTCTGTCATATCTCCGAAGGGCAGAATTTCCAGGTCCCTTTTCAGGGAGCAGCAGTGGAGAACCTGGAGGTACCTTCAAAGGAGAGGAAGCTGTGAGGTACAGGGACCCAACCTCCTGACTCTTCAAACATCTCAATTCTTGAAGAGAATGGTCTTGAATTTTATGCGAAGAAACTTTGACGTGTGTTTAATGGTAAACAATTATTAGAACCTTTCAACATTTCCTTTCTTCTTTACTTTAAAATAGTGTGCTCATTTAGTAAATATGTAAGCATGAAAGGAAAAGGTTTAGTGGAAGGTAACTCTCCCTCACATCTTTGACCTTCAGTGGCTCTGCCACTATTACAGTTTCTTATGAACGTATTTAGAAATCTTCTTTTCACATGTGTATGTGTACAGCACTATAGGTTTACCTTGTCTTCATGGCACCATAGTATTCCATTGCGTGGCTGTGACATAAGATTTTAACCAATTACCTACTGCCAGCATCTGGATTTCTAGCATTTGGATTCTGTGCACAATGCAGTGTGGACATGCATGTCTTTGTGCTCATGAGTCTTCTCTACTTCTGAGTTGTGGCATGTTTATTTTTGACAGATATTTCAAAATTGCCCTCTAATTTGTGCAAGTCTGGGAACAGAGCAATGACCATTTGCCTTGGGGTGAGGTACTGGAGGCCCCGTGCAGAGGGGAACAGAGCTGAAGATGAGGCAGGGAGTCAAGGGTGGGGAGTGGAAATGACTAAAGATAATAGAGATGGCGCAGAAATGCAGAGCTAGAGAGAAATGCGAGCAACTTCCAGGAGAAGATTTATCCAGAGGAGGAGGCATCCAGGCTGGCCGGGATGCAGAGCTGGAGGGAAGGCATTTTAATGCAAGTCAAGAAGAGAATCAATGGGTTTGGGGCCGGACTAGATGAACTCACCAGGTGTCTCTATGACCAGATTACAAAACAGAAATAACAATTCTATCTTTTTTCTTTTTTTTAAATATTTGTATGTCTGTATTTAGACCTTTTAAAATATTTAGTAAGCAGCCCTGATGCAAATTGGGTTCTATACTGTGCTGCTAATTGACACTTTTTTGTTTGTTTTGTGTTATGTTGTGTTGGGTATTTTGGTTTTGGGGTTTTTTTAATCAACAATATTGTCTTTCCTTAAAGATGTTTTCAGGGATTTGAGGTTACGACCTATTGCTATTGTTCTTAGGTACCACGGAGTTCACTATAACTCATAACATCGCTAAGCACGACAGATTCATTAGAACTTCACCCAATTTTTGGCCATCCTCACAATCTCTGTTCAACCTCACTCCTGGAGTCACTGTGTTGATTCATCTTGTGGGGTTAAACGCTTTGAGACGGCTTCTAAAGACAGGGAGTAGTTGGGGGAAACCTAACAGTCAGAAATCATATTATCTCTGTGGGGCCAGGATGGAAGGTCCCCCTGGCAAAGGAAGCATGGGTCAGGGAGCCCATGGGAGAGCCAGATGGAGAGGTTCACAGGAAACCAGCTATCTAGGTCACTCAGAGCCATTAGCGCAGGCAGACTGCAAAATAAAGCAAATAGTCAAAGTCCACCAGAGTTAGAAACACAGCAGGTGATTTCAGGGCAGAAGGCCCTTCTGAGTTCACTTTTCCAGGTAAGAGCGTGAGCAGGGAAAGGCTGTAAAAAGGAAGAAGAAACCCAAATGTGGAGCTCTGGTGGCCTAGTGGCAAGAAGCTGTGCTGCAATCCTGAAGGCATGTGGTTTGAATCCACCAGATGCTCCACTAGAGAAGGAGGGACAATCTCTTCCTGGGCCAGCTGGATCTGATTCAACAGTACAAAACAGGGTGGGTAGGGGAAGAAATAAAAGCAAAATAAAAAAATTTTCAAAAGAAACCCAAATGTGAGAGCAGAGGCTCCTATGAATCTAAATTTACTTCCTCAGTGTTGCATGATCCCATCATGATCCCATCTGTTTTAACTTCTACTTAGAAACCAGGATTTAATGAATACAGATAAATCTTTAGAATGACATTTTGGGAGGGAGGAAGATGCACTGCCTATTTTTGCTCTGTGTAGAGCACAGTAATTCAGTATCTGGGTTCAAATCCTGACTCTCCTGAGTCCTCCTACCTATGTGACTTTGGGCAGATTATTAAATGTCTTGGACCCCTTAGCTTACTCATTTGAAAAATGAAGGTGTTAACAATTCTTTCCAGTGAAGAAGAAGAATGTTCATGCATGCAAGTGAGAACACAGTAAATGCCAGCAATTGTCAAATTACCACCGGTAGTTAGAGTACCCTCCCCCAAGGACTACAAGCCCCAGGGTCCCTTCCAACCCTTCCCAGTGGCTTACCGGGCCTTGTCATACTGGCTTCCCATAAGGATGTTCTCCCTGATGCTACCCCCTATGATCCAGGCCTGCTGGGGGACATAGGCGAGGCTTCTGTGCACCTCCACGGAGCCCTCGAGCAAGTGCATCTGCAACAAAGAGAACTCAGCTTGAGGACCACAGTGGGTCAGGGATTCCACCTGCCTTGGCAGCCACAGTGTCCCAGTCCTGCCTCCCACTGGGATCCTTAGGATTGTACCAGGTAAAATGGAACCTTTATCAACACTCTCATGTTGTCACATGAGGTTGTCACGAGTCAAAATATATTCATCAACTCTCCACAGCCCCACCCTGCCAGGTTCACCAGCTAGTCTCAAGGACCAAGCATGGGAATATGTGAAACCAGACAGAACTAAGCCAGGTCCCTTCCTGCTGTGACTGAATCCAAGGTTTCCATTAAAAACCCCCATCCCCGTCCGTACAGTTAGGCATGACCTGGGAATTAGGGAATTATTATAATAGTTACTAAGCGTAGTAATGGTAGCATAGTTAAAAGAAAAAAAGAGCCTTGTTTCTGAATTAGGAATGAGGTATTGAGCACAGAAAAGGCATAATCTCTGTACTTTAAAGGAGTTCTACAAAATACATATTTACATAGAGGAGGAAAATATGGGGAAATGCTATTAGCTGTTTAATCCACTTGGTGAGTATATGGCTTTTTATTGTAGTATCCTTTCCACTTTTCTAGTTAGTCAATTTAAAAGCACACATTTAAAAATAATAGTGATAAAGAATAGAACTTTCATCCACACTAGCAGAAGACTTGCTAAAAAAATGAGCTTTTCTCCTCAATTCTGCACTTTTTCTCTTCAAAATTGGAGCCAGATTTTCATTACAAAGAACAAATCCTTGAATAATTTCTCCCTGGCCATACTAAATGTTCCTTTCTCATGCTGTGCTTTCATTTCAGAAAGCAACTCATAGCTGATTTTCCAATGGGTTTTCAGAATGATACAGAAGGAGATTGCCCATTTTTCTCCCATGGAGCAGCTATCGGATTTGAACCACATACCTTTGGATTGGCAGCACAACTGCTTACCACTAGACTGCCAAAGTTAATTCCCTTAGGACTGCTAAATAATTTGAAGTGGGAAATAGCTCTTAACACACAGCGTGATACAAAGCTGTTGGCCTATTTTTACTATTATACATCTTTTCTTAATGAACACTTCTGCCTAATTCCAAAGAAGCACAGATAAACGAGCTGCTAAACTATATCAGGAGAGACTCACTCAACGACATGATTGTATCCCTCTCCACTGCACTCCTGACACGTCCTACCTCACAATGCTAGGAGCTGGCCTTAATGGAGATTATTTGTATTATCATATTAAACTTTGACATTCCTCTGATTGAAAGGAAGGTGGGGAAGTACGGAGAACAGGTGAAGTACAGAGAACACTTCCAGAACACTCCACAGAGAAGGGGGGAATGTGCCACTGGGGAGAAAGTACATTTTATACTTCATCTTATCCATGGAGCATTCATCCTCACAACTTACAAAACTCCCATTTGTTCAGAACCCTTTGAGGAAGAAAGCAGTGTTGATTCTTCCTGGGGAACATGAAAGTGAGAAAGCATGGACTTTAGCTAATGGGAAAGCACTGTGGTCATGTGTCACTTACCTCCCCCAAGACGGCTGACAACAGGTTGCTCTTGCCACTCCCTGTGTTGCCACAGACCCCTAACATTTTACCCTGCAAAGCCAAGGGGGGCAGAAGGCATTAGGACAGGGTAAACCCTCATTTACCCTGGTGAGTTTTTTATTTGACTATACAATGTCAAAACAAAGTCATTAATTTCCCCAGATCCCTCAGATAAGCAAAGCTCAAGAAGAGCTTTGAGATTGTTGTTAAATAAACTGGAAAGGGGCAGCCTCAGGGTCAAAAAGGCTCCTGGGAGCAGCAGTGAGGAAGTCATATCTGGTGGGTATGTCAAGTGTGAAGCTTATACTCTGAACTGATCTATTCTAATTCCATGACCCTGGGAAAGTCATTGAAACAATCTGATGCTCAGTTTCTTTATCTGTCAAATAGAGATAATGAAGTGAGATACATAAAATTAATTTAACTGTTAAATAGTGATTTAAATATGTTTTGTAACTAGAGGAAAACAACTCTTGGTGAGCTGTTTGCAAAAATTAGGCAGAGGAAGAGCCAGAAAACAAATAAACAAAAACCTCCTAAAACACATACGGGATAAGACCGGGATCTCATACTATTCTGCAATCTTATGTATTACAAAAAAAAATTCAGATGATTAATTAATTTATATGAAGCCATAAAGGTGACTATATTTTCACTTTAAGTTATATTTTAAAAGGGAGATCTTGGGAAAGACAAATTGTAACCAAAGAAGTAATACAGTGCAGGCCAAACTCCTAGTCCCAGACCCAAACAATATCTAAACAAACAGTCTGCCAACATGGCATACCTTTGACACCACTAGGTTTATCTTGTGCAACTCTGGACCTAGGCTGTCCCCTCTGTCTTCTGGCCTGAGGCCATCTAAAGGGGGTTGAGCACTGGTTGCCCTCTCAGAGGTGTGTCCATTCCTCTCCAACTCCAATGCTCCATTGACAATCCCAGGGAAGGTCTTTCTCCATGATAAAGTGGCCCCATTCATAATCAACATCTTGCTAGAGTCTTTTAATTCCTGGACATATGAAACAGGAGACTCTTGGAGGAAAAATTTCTATAAAGATAAAAGGAAAGAGAATGAATTCCAAACTTTCCTACATTAGGAATACGTGCCAGTTAACTGTCTGCCAGTTGGTCTCTATTACTGATCTTTTACTAAATTTGGTCAAACATTCTTCTAAGGTCTGTGCGTTGCTGTACAGAGGTAACTCGTGGTTGCTGTGATGCTGTACACTGTGACATTGTTATGTCATATGTTATAATGGTTACCCATGGTGGACAGTGGTGGGGCTCCCCGGTCAAAACAAGCTGAAAGCAGGAGCGGTATCCACTTCTGAAATAGCTTGCCTTCCGAAACTCTATGAACTTGGAGAAACGATGAAAGTTATACAAGTGTTCAGGTCTTTCATTCATAAGGTCGCTATGAGTTGCCTACAGCTTGACGGCACTTAGCAACAACAACAACAATGTCATCAATTAGAAGAAGACTGTGTTCTGCCAGAAAAAATTCTAAAGCAGTGTTTTACAAATCTCAGGCCACTGAACCAATCCTCAATAGTTGCATGTAACCTGGAGCTTCATCTGACATACTTTGGACATGTTGTAAGGAGGGACAAGTCCTTGGAGAGGGACATCATGCTTGGGAGGGTGGAGGGATGTTGCAGGAAGGGAAGACCCTCTGTGAAGTGGATTGATTCAGTGACTGGGTAATCAGGATGGGTGTGTCAGAAGCAGTGTGATTGGCACAGGATAGAGCAGGGTTTAGGGCTGTTGTACATAGGGGCGCTATGAGTTGCAATCAACTCGATGGCACATAACAACAACAACAGTGGTAAGAAGCTGTGCTGCAATCATGAAGGTACATGGTTCAAATCCACTAGCTGCTCTGAAGGAGAAGAATGGGCAATCTCCTCCCATGCAATGATTACTGTCTTGAAAACTCACTGGAGGGTCAGCTATGAGTCAGCTCTGACTCAATGGCACATAGCAACAACAGCAAAATAACTACTAACATTAGCCTCATCATCATTTCTGGGAAGATGTCCAATTTGGCAGACAAGCTACTCAGAGCATCGATAACTAAGGCACAAGAAATCAATTGAAACAGGCATAGATCCAGAGCCTTGAACTTCAAAGCAAAGGATAAATCAACACATCAGGCAGCCACAAGAAAGGAAAAACTGAGCAAGAACAGAAAACAGGGATAAGAAAGGAGTAAGTAAATTGTCAACTGGCATAACATCAGAAGGATATTGTAAATTTTTGTAAACAGTTCCAATTGGTGCAAGAATCTTATAATCAGCTCCACTCACCCAGGATTGTATGGGCACCCACATTGGAGGCTGTTGACCAGAAAACATGATCTTCCTCTATTGCCCTACACTTTTCCTAGTGACCAGAGCTGTGGCCATCCCTAAGCCTCATCTATTCAGCCGCCAGGGGCAGTTGTCACCCACACAGCCCTTGTTCTCTCTGAAGGGAATCTGTTGCTGTCATCATTGTTAATACCATTGAGTAGGAGCTGACCCTATGAATGTTCTATTAAAACATTATGTATATTCTATTGTTTGAACTAACAATTTTGCTAAATATACACCTCTTGACTGGCAATCTCAAGATTCCTTTATATATATAGATATAGATATAGATATAGATATAGATATAGATATAGATATAGATATAGATATAGATATAGATATAGATATAGATATAGAT